GATTAAGGGGCATATTTTTGACTTCTTAAAACACAGCATGATAAACTGAAATGCCTGTAAAGAACCTGCTATGGTCTGGTAGATTCACACAGTGACCTGAATTATTTTCAGCATTAACCTGTGTTATCACAGTGGAATTATTGGGGTGAGAATGAGTTCACACTCCTGGTTGCCTTTGTTTCCAATGGTCGTTGATATGAAAAGCCATCCTGCATCTGCTGTGAAAATAAATAGTGTGATGATTGTATTTGGCATTTTAAAAGTATCTAAATAGATATTTCCCCTAATAGACAGAATCAAAGTCTAAATTCTAGACACTCCATTTCACTGGCTTGGTCAAACAGCAAGTTTGGTGTGTCCGAAACCTTATCTAGTATTTTTTATTATATCAGCTCATCTAAGACAAATCTCTCTATGAATCCCTCAGTTCTCTCTCATATTTTTAGACTATCACAGATATAACTCTATACTTCTTGTCTTTTCAACTAATATACTCCTCTCATTTAAAATAAACCTAAATAAATAATTGAAAAGAATCTGCTCTTGTTATGCTAATAGACCACATTCTGAGCTTGTCAACAATTTGGCATAAACTGAATTACAGAAAAGTTATGTCAAAGAGGGGTAGCAAGTGTTCCAAACCAAGCTTGAGCCAGCAAAGCCAGTAAATGCTGAAAATCTTATTAACAGCAAGGGTAGGTGAAAGGGTGGGCTTTAACTTCCTCATGTTAACCGGGAGATGTCTTTCATATTTAGTGACGGCAACTCACACCATTAAAGTGATGGCAAGAAATGCATTAGATACCTTACCAGAGTTCATTGCTGTAGAGGGTAGGAAGCTGAGATTGACAAGCACATATGTTATGTGAAAGCCAGGTATTGCCATTAATGGGTTTGCACCATCATAGATTTTTGAGTTTGGGAGTTACTTTTCCTGCAAATATTCATTTGGCTTTAAATGCAGCCAGACATACTGTGCTTTTCTGATTTCCTAGTCTGCGTCCCATCATAAGAACCCAGCAAAACCTCGTTCTAAATAGAGACATTTAAGACATCACTGAATCTCTGCCTCTGCTCAGAAAATGTCACTGTGTCCTCAGATGTTTGTTTCTGCAGTGAGTGGACATGGTTGTACAAGGCAGAGCTCCCAGGTTCTCTCAATCACATCTATCTCCTTCTACATCAGATTATTTCTGCCAAGCTGGTTATATTTTTTCCCAAGCAAACCCTAACTATCAGGGAAGTCTAACACATTGCTCCTTTACCATCAGCTTTGTTTTCAGACATACAATGGTTTGGCATGACTCCAATCACCACCAGGTGATTTTTGGCCCTTGCCCTTTTTATTATCTGGTATCTCTTAGGGAACCACAGATGAAACCAATAGAAAAGGAGAGAAAAAGAAAAAGCAGGAAAAAAGAGCAAGCTTCTCCTTCGCTTTCCTGGTAAAGTGACATCTTGCCCTCTTGCATTGTATATTTTTGTCCAGCTGATGCTTTGTCCTACTGGAATCGCGGTTCTAGTATTAGCTCCAAATGGTAGGCAGGCATTTTCATTAAAAACAATTACTATTTCCAAACAGGAGCTGGTTCCTCAGTTCCAGCCATTCTTGCTGTAAAATGTTCAGCTGAGAGGAGCAGATTGTTCCTGCTGAAAATGAATGGAATCTGGCAGGAAAACCTCATGTTTTTCCAATCCTAGTTTTTTACAAAGAAAACACTGGGATCTTGTTGAAAAATTGCAATTGTTTTGGTGGGCACATTATTTTTCTCAGTTGAGCTCTTTCCAGCTACAGGAGACAACTTTTGTGTATACATATGTGTGCGTGTGAATATAGATCCATGTATCTACACATACACACAAGCTTTTGTATATAATTGCTATGCAGAAAAATTATTAATGAGTCAAGGAAGAGTAAACACATTTTTGTTATTAAAAAGCATTTATGCAAATTGATTTTTCGAAACAGCTTCCACATTATGAACCTTCAAAAGAAAGTCAATGAGTAAAATACTATATCATAATAACAGCTAGCCTCACTTTTAATAGTAGGAGAAGAAAGAGGCCAAGGTGACTGAACTGTTTATCCTTTGGTTGTTCTCCCTAACTTAAAAACATTGTCAGACTGAATTACCCTGATAAAAATATCAAAGGAGAGAAAACAGAAGACACTATTACGCTCATGAAAGGAACAAGCTGCAGAGGTCCCCATATTGATCACCCATATGGATGCTGCCATTTGGTAATAAGTGATTTTGCTTACCTCAGACAGAAATAGATAATAGGGCAGGCTGACCTTGCATCCATATGGGGTGGAACACCTCCTTCCACTAGTTGCTTTTTTGTCTTCCATATGAACTATTCGTCCCAGACGGCAAGTGAGGCGGGAGGCTGGTGTGTCTTGGGCATGCTGCACCTTGAGAGTTTAAGGGCACTCCCCAGGCAAAGTTCAGCCTCCATGTTAGCAATAGTACCCTGCAGCCTTCAAGTCCACCTCCTCTGACCCTCTGCTCCAACAAACAGGCAGGATCCAGACACTTTAGCTGTGGCATATCCATCCATCCAACCTTCAAGACAACTCAACTGCCTTGACCTGCATCTAACAATCAAATTGGGCAGGAAAGGGACAGCAATAAAGCTTTCTCTACCAAAAATATGCAGCAACCTAGTATGGTAGCACAGACCAGCGCAAAAACTGATCACATCAAAAGATGGGCTGCCCAGCCCTCTGATGCACTTTAATCACAGCTGCACACTGTAACAAGAAATGCAAAACAACCCCCTTGAATTACTCAAGGCTGAGAAGTTGAGTCCCCAGTGAAGCCATCTGTAAGTCACCTATTTCCACTAGCCTTTTGGGCCACCTTTTGACCCAGCAGCAATAAGTGAGAAAGGAAATTATAACGGAAAGGATGACAGTGTTACAGCAACTGCTCGTTTTCAGAGTGGTCGCCTGACAGAAAAAGGAAAAATGAGAAGCATTTCCCTTTTCTGTTATTGCCCAGCTAATAGAATTTCTTGTCTCCTTTTCACTTGTTCTTACCCTGAATTTCATCATTATAATAACAAAATTAGGCAAGTTTACAGCCAAAAAGAGCCTTAAGAGATCTGCTGGCCCAGCTCCTTGCAGCTGGGCAGGATCAGCTACACCTAGACCTTCTCTGATGCTTAGCCATTCAACTTGGACTTGAAAACCATCACTGAAGAGTCCAAAACATCCCTTGTGAGTTTGCTCTTTCAGTTGTTTGTCTGGGAAATTAGCCTGCAGATCTACCCACTCTGCGTAAAAGCTACAACAAAACAAGGTGTAGCATCACTCCTGCCCCCTCTGCCACCTTGTGTCCTCAGCAAATCGCTCTGTTGAAGCCCTAAGTCTTTCCTGGGTACACAGGGGTCAGCAGCTTCACACTGTAGGGCTGTGGTGCACTCACCATCATCCCAACCCTAAGATCCCGGCTGCCTTGAACTGCACGAGGGCTGCAGTTCCATTGCTCTCATAGGATACAGGACTTCACAGTCAGAATCTGAATGGCACAAAGTATATTGAACAAGTTGACTCTTCATTTCTAAACATAATTTAAAATCAGACATTAAATATACTTAATAAGGTGTCAGGAGGCTTCCCACGAGGATCTAGCTGTTAAGTCTTTATTGTTGTGTTTGCTTTGAAGTCAAGAGGAAAAAAAATCTTGTTTGCCAACTTATAATTCAAAAAATGCCAGAAGAACCTTCTTGCAAACAAACAAGATGCAAAAGAAACGCTGGCACCAAAGTGGCGCAGTCTGTGAATTATGGAGTTATGGAATAATTTCAAAAGTAAACTGTAGGATGCATAAATGTTCACATAATTCTTTCTGTAAATAAGGTTAGAATTCTTCCACAGACAAGGAGACACAGATCCTAGGTACCCAATGCTGTTTGTGGTCAGCAATCTAGGACTGTTCACTTTGTACATAGGTATGCGGCACACAGCAAAAGATGCTGTTCAAGTGTGGAAGCACTATATAATAAAAAATTAAGGGAAGCCTTCTCTTTTTGTAAAGCACAGCTGAGCACAAAGTCCTGCACCTCACACTGTATAACAAAACCACTTCCATCACTTGAAAATCAAGAAGCCTGCCTTTGTCATCCATCTGCACATGTAAGAGATCCAGAGAGTGTATTGCCCAAATGAATCAGTTTCTTGTGAAGTAAATTAAAGCTCTGATCCCTGCTGAAGGAGTCCTTTGGTGTTGTTCCAGCATCTTCCTGATACTTTCTGTTTCTTTTGGGTTTGTCTGATTTATACCATTCTCCAAAAGATTTAGCCCAGCAGCATCCATTAGAGAAAACCAAAATATGGCAGGGACACTAAAATGGCAGACAGCAAATACCAACCTATCAGTTCGGTTAGAACCATCACAAGAGCATTCACCAGCACCGAAAGGCATACCTAAACCCAGCTACGCCCACTAGGGCCTTGCACGTACCTGTGGAAAACACCTCACTGTAAGTGCTGCTCCTGTTTTCATTGGATGTACGAAACCACATTTTTCTGCAAGCACCTTGTAAGTCTGAGGGTGGCTTTTAAATGTAAATGTGGAAAGCCAGCATCAAAGGTCTGAAATGTCATTTTGGAGCACTACAAAAACCAAGCAGACCATAAAAGCTACGTTAAGATTAAAAGAACTTTATATGGCCTTTGCTTGAGAAGTACCTCACACCCTCTGAAGGTGCACTAAGCCCACAGCTCAAGAACATATCACTGGCTGACAACCCATCCCACAAGCAGACCTCACAGCAACAGCCTCACAGCCCCAGCCTGTGGCAGCAATTCTGGGAACACCAGGACTATCAGGGAAGGAACACAAAGAAAAGCTTTTCCAACATGAATGTAAGCCCCAGAAATCAAAGTTCTTCACTTATCCTTAGGAATAAGATTTGGTTCAGGCAAGCTATTGCACCCCATATAGCACCCTATCCTTCTAAGGTTCTTCCTGAGAATAATTAGACCATTGTACCTTCACTTCATGGGCACACAGCTCTGGCAGGTAGTGCCCTTTAGCCACATCAAGCATATGAAGGAGCCACACTCTTCTAATGACCTAAACCATGTGCACATGGCCTTTTCCTAACCCAGGGTTTAACACTCACACCCAACTGTTTACCTCCTGTTTTTTGCTTTACCCTGATGAGGGCTACATAGCATCTGTGAGCACTCCCCAATTCACTTGAGGTCAAATATCCCATCTGAAAGCACAATTTCTGGTTGTATAAACTAACCTGGCTAATTTTCCCTTAATCAATTTAAAGAGTCAGGAAGAAGCAATCTTTGAGAAGAAGGACAGTAATTTCTTCTATTGGCACACTAGATACAAAGGAAAATAAACCCTCTTTGGCCATAAAGGTGAAAAATCTGAGGCCATAAAGGAGAAAGATCTGCAAACCCATGGAGAATTTCCACCCCCTGAGTGGAAGCCTATTTTTACTGCATATCTCCAATCCAAAGCTTGAATGGAAAATAGACATCACCAGTCCTGACCCCACTGAAGTCAAAGGCAGCTTTGTCATTGACTTTAACGAAACTAGGATTCACCCCAGGGTAAGGGGCATTGTGTTTTTCAGCAGCCACCCATGTGGAAAGTTTGCTTAGATGACTGCCTGCCTGGAAGGTAGCAGTGCTAAGCCACAAAACACCAGAAACATTTGTGTTAACCCACATGCTCCAGCATTTGAAAGTGCAGCTATCAGAGTACACCCTTGTCCTCTAGAAAGCATGTGTTCCTATACCCTTGGCTTCTTTACTCCACCTGACGTTGGTGGTGCACCTGATGTACCTAACCTGTTGTTCAGCTGTGCTACTGGCTCTGACTGTTTATCAGGAAACATCAGAGAGGTTTTTATGCTCTCACATTGTAAATAATGTGACAGACCTTGAAAATATAATATGTCTTTTTATAGCTACTGTACGCATTGTGAATGAAAACAGCTCCTGAAAATAGAGTTGAAAATAGGCTATTACATTCATGCTTCATGTTCACTCAAATTCTGATAAAAAAATCCAGTTACAATGTATGTTTCAGAGCATAGGGAAATGGATAAAAATACAGGAAGCGGGAATCTAAAAATTAATCCAAAAGCATATGTAGGAAATTCCTAAACTTATTTTAGGAATTTATCTGGTACTTATTGCAGCACAATAAAGCTTGGGCTTAGCAGGGCTGGTTTTACCTGCTTAATTAGACAGGGTCTCAGCAAACAAAGGAACAAATACTGAGATACGGAAGCAAAGCATCAGAAAATTGAGAAGGGTTGTGAAAAAGCAGGAAAAACAGAGAAATTTCAGGCTTTGCATCTTGGGCTTCTTTCTAGTTCAGAAGCATCCATGAAAACTTGAACTTGAAAGAAGGGTTGCTTCTTTCCGTTTCTTCAGTCTAGAAATTAAAGCAGGTATCTATCCACAAGAAAAAAGGTGCCTTATGAGATTTCCACCATTTCCTGCTTCTCCCATTTGCAGTGGGTTCCTTCAAAGCTCTCCTGTGCTTCCACTTTTAGGCCAAGCCACAGCAAGGCAGTTCAGCCACCTGAAGAATTAAATCCACTGTAGCAGCTAGAGGAGAGCAGCCCACTCCACATAAGATGCTAAATTTTATGGTTCTGAAGTGAGCCAAAAAGGAGTTTGGGGATAGGAAATGAGTCAACCTCGTTTGCTGCATCTGCCTGCAGGCACTGATCTGAAGGGCTGAATTTATGGCTGTGATTGCCCCTGTGCAAAGGAAGGTAAACTTTCCTCAGCTATGCACAGAGCATTCACAGGCTTACCCATTGGAACTATCACTGACACCAAGTATTCCAGCGCCTTGCCCTCCTCCAGCATCATCCATGAGGGAGTCTCAGTGAAGGGATGGAGAATGACTTGATGCCTTTTCAAATAGCAAAATGTTATTCTCACTTTACAGATGGGAGGCTGAGGCTGAAGGAGCCTGTGTGACTTTGGCCCACACAACAGGGCCAGAAGTAACCTCAGATTTCCTGAACACCATTCCTGAAGCACAGGAAGAGCCACTTGGCTCCTTCAACTTTCCTCACCCCCACAAAGAATTCTACCATCGCTATGCAAATCAGGGAAGCTATTCCCATAGATCCCTATCCCCACTTACAAACTGCCTCTCTTTGAGGTATTTCTTAATTCCATCCTCCCTCTTTGGCTGCCAAAAAGCTTTCTAGCTCAATATCAGTGCCTTAAAGAGCAACCACAAAATCCTGCAGTACAGCAGAGCAGAGGTTATATAGCCAAGACAACTGCTATTTTCATCAATTCTTCAGCAAACCAGCTGATCATAAAAGCTATTCTTGACTAGCCTGCCTTTGTAACACCAGTCGCCAGGAGAACACAGCACATACTATTGGCTGTGGCCCTCACTAAAAATACACTGCACTCTTGCACAACAACAAAAACTCCCACCAGGGCCAACGGACAGCAGACTAAAAACAGTAACCAAAGGCTTTAAATTGCACAAATTACAAAGGTAGAAGGACTGAAAGCAGCATGCTGCTAAAAGCCATCTGCCATCTTGGCCCGCCCATGTGTCCCTTCTCCCCAGCAGTGTTTTATATTAGTAATGATGTCTCTGTATTATGTATGACAGAGTCTCTGCTGCTTTGAGCAGCAGTAATATAGATGCTCCTTCAGTCTGGTGCTTTGCATATACACCCTAGCTGAGGGAGCAGAAGATCTGCCTTCTAGCCTCTCTGGCTGGATATAGTTCAGTTGGAAGGCAATATTCACATGCATATATTCTCTAAATCATGCTGCATTATCAGGACTCCCATGCACATCAATAATACACAAAAATACACAGAAATAAACAGATTCAGCCGTGGTGTGGACTAGAAAGAGTGGACAACATAGAAATACAGGAAGAAAAGCAGCAAATTATGGGCTTGTTTCCAGGATATAGAACATGGTTTCTTTTTTTAGTGATTAATTTTATCAACAGGTTAATGACTTTCCTATCACTGAAACTATCACTTATGAGGGTCTTTGAAGTTTCAAAAGAGTATGGAAGGAAGAAGATGAAGCCAGCTATTGGGATAGTCCTGTACAGAGAACAGAGCAATACCTGAGATAACTCTGCGATGAAGCACAGGGACAGGAAACCGCCTTACCAGGTTAGCACACCCTGTGAAGAGAAAAAGGGAGAGAGAGAGAATTTGTTAGCTCAGGAAAGGCAACATCTCCATCGATGACAGCATTCAAGGCCAGGTTGAACAGGGCTTGGAGCAGCCTGGTGTGGTGGAAGGTGTCCCTGCCCATGGCAGGGGGGTTGGAACTGGATGACCTTCAGGTCTTTTCCAACCCAAACCATTCTATGAATCTACCTGTAAAAACTGCTTTCACTACCTGAGCTACCAGGCTAACTCAGGTGTCTTCCTGCAGCCCTGCAAATAACACCCGAGCCAACATCCTGTCCTGAGAAAAAACAGTGACCAGGGACCAGAGAAAAGACAGGGGGAAAGGTGAGAACAACACATGTGAATAGGTAGACTGTATCACGAATCAGAAACCATAGCTTATCAGGAGCAGGTTCAAGTGAAATGACTACTTTTGCACCTAACCTCCGAAACAACTGGAGGGAAATGAAATGGATTATTGGAAAGTTAGTGGAAAAGTTTATTTGCTAATCATACAAGTTCATTTGTTCAGAGCATTTTGCAAAATACCTTGCATAACCCACTTTCAGCTGATGCACATTGAAAGTCTGCAAATACAACATGGCTAACTAGGGTTCAGGGAGTGCTCTCACCATTTACAGTGCTTGCAGCACCCCGTTACCACATGACTACAGATGTTAGCTTGTTGACCCCCAACTATGTGCTCACAGAGATCTCCCCCTGCTCCAGTTACTTCCTAAGTTTTCCCAGGGGCATTTGAAGAGACCCTGACAGGCATCTAAGTAGCTGGGAGGTTGTGCAAAGGACGTCCCATCACCACAGTTCTGCTCTCCTCAGGAGACAGGTTGAAGGCCCAGGATATAAGAGGAGGTACCCAGGGTGAAGTCAGAGGGGATTAGGGAGCTGCATAGCACATAGAAGAGATGGAAAAATATAAAAGCAAAGGAAGGAAGAGACAGGGAAACCATGCAGAGAGAAAGATGGAGAGAGGGGAACTAGCAGAGAAGGAGAAAAACAGAAAACCAAAAACAGACAGGTAAGTTAGATGTAACTGTGGGTAACCAGCAGGTTATGGAAGAACAAAGCCTGCAAATAACAAGAGGAAGAGATGGCCCCATGGAATCGTGAAGCCCGTGAAGATCAGGAGAGTTGAATGAGCTCTTCAGGTTCAGAAAAACAGCAGCAAAGGGTATGTAGTATATTTCTTTTCCTTTCTCCCTGTTAGAGCCTTTGTCACTGTTAGAACAGGCAGATGATAGCACACGAGAATTGTTCCACAGCTGAGCTGGAGATTCCAAGCCAGTGCAATCTGTATTTCAGAACAGGACATTATATCTCAGCAGACATTCTGATTTCCAGAGGTCCCGAGATCCCAATCGTAACTCTTACAGCTATCAAAGGCACCTGCTTTCCAAGGAAAAGCTGTCCTGCATCACTCTGTCTGAAAGAATAACTTTCAGACTGGATTTTTATTCATTAATTGGATGCATTAGGCCTCAGCTTGAAGGACTGCTAGACAAGAACAGCTATTTGGCCAGCACACAGTATGGGAATAAGGAGCAGTGAATCTGTTCTTGGAGGTAACATGCTCCAGGTATTTTCCCAGGCAAGCTGCTCAACTTTGTGGTACCTCATGCATGTGAGATGAGAACATCTAATTCCATAATTCTCAGGAATATTGGCCTGGGTATATAAAGTGCCATGAGATCCTCAGAAGAAAGGACTAATTTTAAGTCCAGAGAGTTGACATTTACTTGTTTTTCCCCAATCTGCTGTTTCTTAGAATTCCAAATCTAAAGGGATGGGATGGTGCAGACAACTGGCGATATCATTGTCATAACAGCGACATCATGGCACAGGCAGCCCCAGCTCATAAGGCAGTAGGAAGCACACGAGTTGGTATATAAAAAAGGACTGGCAGCACAATGCAGCGTGTGGATGCCAGATTCATTGCTCACTGAAAGCTGCATTTTCAAATCCAGCATTTGCCTCATGTCTGAGTTTAAGCTGACTGTTACATGGGCAAAAAGATACTCCAAACCGAATTCTAAGCCTGAGACTTTGTGTTGTTCTTGATTTTTGCAGCATGAGGAGGAAAGCAAGGTTTCTGCACTGAAATACCACTGGAGTGTTTGTCTGAACTGAGCTTTCTCTTGGCATACTGGCTGCTCCTGCCTTTGTAAAAACTATTAGGCAAGGGGTTGTTTCTTTGTGAGAGATTTGATGAAGCTGCAGACGTCCATTTTAGCCAAAGTGATTTCATCTGTTTTTCCTCCAAGGCTGCCCAGCTGAAGAGTTATCATCAGGATTTTTCTCATTGCAATTGCTAATGTCACTGGTTGGTACCAACCTGTTATTCACTTCTTCCAGCACCTCCCCCAGTTTGCAATCATCGAACAGCTTAGACATTGATCTGAAATAGTACTGTAACTAAAATCTAGTAGAGAAAATAAAAACCCAAGCTACCCTTCAGAGATCTGAAGACATTCTGCTTCACGCTGAAGCTATTTAAAAGAGAACCTACAGGCTACTTCCTGACTTCTGGGGATGCTAAGATTCAGACTCATGGTTTGGCTTCATCTTTAGCTAGGATAGCACAATTACAGGACAGAAGAAGAATTGCCTAAGGATCCAGTTACAGGACTGAGAGCCAGGAAAGCATGAATATCAATACTATCACCGGAATTTTCCCTTGTAAATCACTTAATTTCAATGCCTCCTCATTCCTCTGTCTCTATGAAGACAGGCAGACTTATTTACTCTTCAATAATTCCCAGAGTAATCCTTAGGTCAAAGTGCAAGTTTGATTCTTCAGCACTTGTCAGGAGTTCAGTATGTAAAGTACTGAGATTAAAAAGAGGAATTTCAGGCAAAAAGAGACCTGTTCTCAGGCTCTGAAGATGTTTCACACAAGTCTGGACAAGCTCAAACTCGATCTTGTAGGCAGGGAAGCCCTTCTCTTACTAGCTTGAGATTTCTGTTCTTACGTGCATCACTGCAGCAAAGCTGGAAACATCTCCTTTCTGTCATTTGGGTGTGCAAGAATAGTTTCATGGAAAATTGTTCACTCAACTGTCAGAACATTCTTTTGGCACTGAGAAATATAGGAAAAGTGGAAAAGTCCTAAGAAATTGAAATATTTCAGTTCTTTACATAGGGCTTTATCCCTAATCAGAAATACTAAACGAGGCTCAATGTTGGACAATACTGGGTTTAAACCATGACACATGCTTATTCTTTAACTCTCATGGGATATGCCAAGAAGTTAATGCATGGCCTGTGACATGACAAGCTGTGCAAGCTTAATTTGAGCTCAAAAGTTTGCAGAATGAAACAAAACCAAAGAAAAAGTTTCATAAAAAAGGCAAGCTTGTCAACCACTGTCCATTTTTACCTTGGCAAAGGCTGGCCTAAGAGATGCGAACTTTACCTGACACAGAGAACATCTGAACTGGTAATCAAAGTACGTAAAAAAGTAGGGGGTATCTATAGCACTTCATAATAACATTAAATTATTTGGCAAGATTCATCACTCTTCTAAGGATATGTTACAAAGTGCTTTTGCTTGATGGAAGGTACAGTTATAGCAGATATTTGGACAACGTAAAGACGGACTGTCGATCCACCAGCATCAGACGCATCATGACTTAAACCAGTTGCACTGCCAAAAGTTGTGCCTTCAAAACTCAGAATGATTAGGTGCTGTCCATATGCAAGAGGAGCAGCCAGCTGTGTTTTCATTAAGGTCCCTAAATGAAGCATGAAGATTAAGATTATGATGCTAGAAATTGTGCACAGCTGATTTAAATCCTCATAGCATGTGCTCGAGGAGTGAAAATAACTGTAGAAGCCAATGTGAAAGTAATGGAGAGTTTGTTTCAAAAATTGATGCTAAATATGCGAAGATACAGTCCAAGCATGAAATCCTAGTGGGGTGTAAAAATACCCCTTGCACATTTGGAGAGGGATCCATCTTCCATCAATGCAGTGTATACAAATACAAAACACGTAACAGTGCAGACCTCTTGCTTATTCAAATGGGCTGCCTTAGAAAGCACAGAGAGGTAGGTAATAATTTTGCAAAGACAGCGTAGAGAAGCAACAGAATTAAACTCCAAAACAAGATGCACTCCTCACTTATTGGGGAAATGTTTGCTGAAAACAAGAGGCTGCTTTCTCCAGCAGTGCTGGAAAAACACATGGGCATTAAAATAAAAAGCAATATTCAACGTGATGAAAAATGTAAGCAAAAAGCAAGAGATTATGTTCTCGCCTGAGATGAAGTGTTTAGATAACAGACAAAATAGCACTTTGTGATACATGTAATTGCTCCCAAACAGCACAAGCAGAGTGTGAGGTTATGAAATCCCCCAGGGAATATGGAAAGGCTAACAGGAGATGTTGCTAAGCGTAATAAAGTGTTTGTAATAATCACTACTCTTAAAGCATAGATGTCTAGAAAAGGTCTAAAACATTCCCAGCATACTGGGGACAGCACCTCTTGTTTTCTAGGCCTGCAGAAGACCATCAGTAGCTGTTACCTCAGCCAATCTCATGTGAAATGATTGAAGAAAATGAAAAACGATTAAA